ATGCGATTTAAGGCTCTGAGTGGCATTATTACTGTTATGGAGACAGACGTGTCGCTTATCACCAGGCGTTCAACTTATTCATCTTTCAAATTATTCAGCTTAATACCATAAAAAACGTCACCCGTCATCTACTTAGAGCGTTTGCAAACTACGTGCGATTCGTATCAGGTTCCGAATCCAAGTAATGATGGTCCGAAATGTCAGGTCCACGAAATTTCGAGGTCATGAAAATTCGAGCAAAAGTTATTTTTTTTTACACGTTATTTCGTTATTACTGGAAAATGTCGTTACGGACTTCTGATAGGTAACCGTCACAGATATCAATTTATCTCTAGGTGTACAATTTACGTTATCTAGATTTGTATAGTCTCGGATTCGAAACGAATACGAAACGGATACAGTGCGCAAAAGCGTTTACTCTGCTATACATAATATAGACTTCGTAGTTTATGTAATAAATAGGACGCATTACAAATTTCCGGAACCGGCCACTTACATAAACAATATTTAAAAAGTAATTATAACATTTGAAAATCACTCTTTGGCTGTAGTAGTTTGTTTCATCTGACTGTCACTTGTTTTTACATTGTGGCGTCAGTCTAGAAATTAGTAGTCTACATCACCATTGAGCTAACTCGTGAAAATTTTCGTAGTATGATTTTCTACGACTTTAAGTGTAATTTAACAGCTTAGCGCTTCGATCGGCTTCAAACTGCTTGTGGCGATGAAGCACCATGCAAGATGACTATTTGTAGCTGGTTTGCTGAATTCAAACGCGGCCGTGTGAATCTCAGTGACGAATTTTGTGATGGTCGCCCGTCCACTGCTGTGAACAACACAAACATAGATGCTGTGCGCCGTATGATCAAAACAGACAGGCATGTGACATACCGTGAGATTTGGGTATCTTTAGGCATAGCCATGAGTCAAATACAATCAATACTACACAAACATTTGAGTGTGAAAAGGCTGTGCTCTCGGTGGATCCCACCCAATTTGACTGAGGCTCAAAAAACGGATCGCGTCACTTGGTGCAATACCATGCTTACCAGATTCAACGAAGGGGCGTTAAATTTGGTGTGGGATATAGTAACAGGTGACGAAACATGGATTTATAGTTACAATCCCAAAACAAAGCAGCAATCGGGTCTTTCGATATGAGTCGAAACCAACCAAAGTGGCGCGCGTACAAAGTGCCTCTAAGCGAATCATTGCTTCTTTTTTTAATAAAACTTGTCACGTGGCTACTGTTGCTTTGGAGAATCGTTGTACCGTGAATAGTGATTGGTACACGACCATTTGTTTGCCGGAAGTTATTGACAAACTCCGTAAACGCCGTATCATCTTGCACCACGATTATGCCAGTTCTCACACGGCCAGATAGACAAATGAATTTTTGAAGGTGAACTACGTTGACCTTAAGAGCCGTCTCGCGAGTTAAACTCTTTCGGAGAGCTTTCATAAAAAAAATATAATTTTTAATAAAAGAAAAGTTTATTTTAATTCACAATTTTAGTACATGTTATTACTGTCTTAAATCTATCTTAATACTAATTAATTAATTAAATAACTAATTAAATTAATTGTGTCAGGATGCATCAATGCTCCGGCGCAGAGCGCGTTATCTGACAGGAAATGCAACCTCATGTCTGGACTCTATGGCGTCGAGGCGTTGATGCAGGCCAGGCTTACTAAGAACTAGCTAGAGTTTACATAACACGCGTACAATCCCGACCTGGCACCTTGTGACTTTTATTTTATTTCCAAAAATTAAGAACCAGTTACGCGGTCAACGATTTTTATCACCTGAAGTGGCTGTCGAAGAGTATGAAAAATATGTTTCAGAAATTGTCACGGAGGAGTCGCATAAATGTTTTCAAAATGTGGTTCATTCGTATGAAAAAGTGCATTAACGCTAACGGAGAAATTTTGAGAAACAATAAATTCATTTCTGGCCATTTATAGTATTTTTTTCTTATTCATTCCAGAAACTTATAGTGCGCCACACGTACACTACGACAAACTTGAGTTATAACTTGTTATTTCTAATTGTTAGATGGCGTTAGTATTTATTCTTTAGATTGTTGTAGAGGTCGCTATTAGGTACTTATTAATCGGTAACATCGAATAGCGGGCTTTACACAGACACTCTCTCGCGCGTGTAATAGTGATCGTGCGCGATTGCGCGCGCGTGTAAAGGAAAAGGGAAAGTTCGAGGGATTGCGCTTACGCGCCAGATTCACGTGGTCTATCATGCGCTATTTATTAACCTTCACACAGACGCTCTTTCCGTTGTAACAAAAACGAACCCGAATGAGTTCTGGCAGTCGAGTCAGAACCTTGTAATAACTCACTTGTCGACCGATCCAATTTGATATCGTACGATTTCTTTTCATTTTTATTCTCAACACACGAATCGAACACAACGTGACTGTGTAAGGGGGCTATTGGTGCAACATTGGCGCACATGCATGACAGGTTAGCCAACTGTGGCGGGTTAACGCGGACGGAAGAACCACTAGTGGAAAGACTGATTATTTTGAACAACCGTGAAGTTTTAACCTACTATTCGTTAAAATTATGTCAATCACGCTATATTCCCTTAGTTAAGTGTATGGAATGAATTGATTATAATTCCATTGGGTAATGTTTTCATTTAAAAACAGCCAAAATCATGAAAGATGAGTCTTCCGTAAAAGTTCCCGGTCACACGGTAACATGAACTTCCGCAAAGTAACGCTTGAATCTATTAATTACTTTATCAAGTAATAAATAATGTTCTTTTACCAATTGCTAAAATTTCTCGAGCATTGCGCACACGATTTTGGTTTATCGAAATTTAGAACCGTTTTGAAATGTCTTTAACCACGTACCATCTTTATTGTTCCAGTCTGTATCAGTGACGGTCTCAGTGCTGACTCTTACCTTCATCTCCGTGGACCGCTGGTATGCCATCTGCTTCCCTCTCAAGTTCAAGTCTACCACGGGAAGAGCCAAGACCGCGATTCTTATCATCTGGTTGCTGTCTTTATTGTTCAGTAAGTATTCTTACCATAGTGTGTTCTTACTTAGTAAGTAATCAAAGTCAAAGTCAAAGACAAAGTCAAAGTCAAATAATCATTTATTCCATAGGTAAAATTTTTACACTTGAAAACGTCATTTTTAAGCCACTTTTTAGGCTACTGCTCGTTCACTACGCTGACTTCTCTGAGAAGAACGAGCGAGAAACTCCAGGGATTGCTCTTTTCAAATAAACTTAAATACTATGGATTACACTTTGAATTATAATTGTGTGGAATCTAGACTCTTGTTGTCTTTCCATACTTCTTTATCTAAAACATACTCTTCAATTTTGTAATATGACTTTTCAATTAAAATACTTTTAATGTAAGTTTTAAACTTAGGAAATGATAATCTTAATATATTCTCCGGAATCTTATTGTAAAAACGTATACAGTTCCCCATAAAAGAATCGTTTACCTTAGTTAGACGAAATCGTGGTACCATGAGTTTGGACTTAGTTCTAATGTTAATATTATGAATATCTTCATTCTTAATGAAATTATGTATATTTTTACGGGCATACAAAATGACACCAGTCTCCTCAAACTTTTCTCTGAGAGAAACCCGAGAACCTAATCGGTACACAGAACGAATCGCTCGTTTTTGCAACTTAAATATGGTTTGTGTATCTGCCGCTTTACCCCACATGAGATAATAAGGTCATATCTGCAAAATGGTGACTTTCACGCGAGAAATTTAAATATTCTTCGAACTCATTAAATACAAGGGTTGTAATAGTATTTTATGCAATCGTTGCATATAAAGAGGGTTCTTAGGGCCGTATTCTATAACTCTACTCAATGCTCAAGTCAGGATTTGAGTATGGTTTAAAGCAATTGATATCATACTCAAGTCCCTGCCATTAGCGTCGTATTTCTAGTGCTTGTGTTTCCATTGCAATCCTGACTTGAGCATTGAGTAGAGTTCTAGAATACGACCCTGAAAGTAAAGCCGAGTGGCCTAAGTAATAGGTACAAGATTTTAAGACCTAATTATGTAATATTGCATTTGAATTACTACGAGTAAATAAAATTATGAAACAGGAGCCATATTTAATGTATATTTTGTTAACAATCATGACAACAAATGCAATTTTTTTTAATAAGTTTTTAACCCGTTTATTAGAGTAATCATAGGTTCCATCATAATAGCCTCTTCAAATAGATATGACGAAAACCAAAAGAAACGCTACAAATAAAAAAAAACAAAGAGATAGAATAGAAATGGCCAAGTATTAATTTATTTTAACCAATCATCTTTTTATAAGATTTGTGGCCCGGTTGCAAAACTTTTGGGCCAATTTAACTCATCAGGGCCTCCTGATTAGCGATTATAGCGAGAGTATAGCGTTTGAGTAGCATCTAATTAACAAAAATATCACGTTCTCGTTTTGAAAATTTTCAGCTCAGTTGCGAGTACCATAAATAATAGAATTTTGATTCAGAACTAAAAAGAGTGCCTTTATGGGATATCTGCGTATTTGTCAACTCTCATCCTCAATATTTTAAAACACGCGGTGAAGTCATTCAAAGGCAAACTAGAGCAAAAATTATGAATCTCTTATACCAACCTCGTTGCCATAAAGTAATTTATAAGAATAACTGCTTCAACATGTGTATAATTATTTACAATAAATTACCAAACGAAATTAAATTGTTACAAGGACATACTTTTAAATTAAAATTCACAAAATGGCTTTTGACACATTGCTTCTATAGTAATAAAGAATACTTAGAATATACAAATTCATTATATTAATTAGAAACTATAGAGACTAAATAAACATTGAACCCCATTAAAATTTGCACATCTGCTTGCAGGTTGAATACAATGTACCTAATTTTACTTAAGACCTTTCTAATTACTGTATTCTGGTAAATAAACGTATTCTATTCTATTCTATGAAATTATAATTGTTAGATTAAAGTACAGGAATAGAAAAGGTATAATTATACATGTTGGAGTTAAGGCTGAAAAGGGAGATGTTGAGGGAAACACCCTCTTCGCTGATTTAGTCAAGAATTACTTGATAATTGGCTTATTCACTCTTCGTTATCAATTCTGTTCATCCATCGGTTGAATGCAATTAGTTGTTTTATCCACTTTTCACAGTAATTAAATTAATTCGAAAGTACAAAAGATACACCTATCTTTCCTCCATCCATCCAATTTCCAGGTTACCTCATCAGGTTAAACGGATTTTAAATATCACGCGGCAAGTTCACAGAGAGCGAGGCGTCACTCTTTATTTTCCCAGCAACCTACACAAAAAGCCCTTTTTGTCAATGCGCACTCGTTTATAAGCCTTGACCTGCAACCAAGCATACCCTGCCCACGACCATCTCATCCGATAAGTATTAACTTTATCTGCGACGTAAGTGCATCAAGGATTTGATTATTCACCCCTCTATGATTATTATACCCTCTACATCTAAATCCAGGGTGTAAGTAGATCATATCATCTACGTAACTGTATAAAAGAGATCTAAGTATTAATTTGTTTGTGGGTATAAATCCTTTATATTACTATCAAAGTATTAGTCAACAAAGAAGCCCCACAGGATACCCATTACAGTACAGAAAGCCCTTGTTCCTTAAGTACGGCCATTAGAGCAAACATTGTCATTTAATTGTAATGTATGTCCCGTAAAACTGTAAGGTCACTCTGATAAATGGAACATAGACTTTGTCTTATAGTTAATCTTATGGGTATTGTGTACTTTAGATTTTTTCAGTTCATACTTTTACTGGTGGTAAAGTTTCTGTCCCTATTTTAACTAATAAACAACATTGCTGTTTACCTTATTGGTAGATTATAGGTAGAGTAGGGTATAGCCAGCGCAATTACAGATACAGCAAACTTAAGTTCTTATATCTGAAGGCCAGCCATCCTTTACGACATCCGTTCTTAGTATCGTAAAGATACCACCATGGTTACCAGTTTGCGTCAGCAGATGTAAAGGCATACTTCTTCGTCTTTATCATGGACAAGAGTGCCAGGCGTCATTGGCTAAATGTCTAGCAAATTTTGCGTCACTCTATCGGTGTCAGTTCTTTAAATTCATAGTAGGTCTTTGAGACGGTGGCCTCAAAGGAAACACTATGGAACGTTGACCGAGAAGACACTATATGGCCTCTTTAGGACAAGACAGAGAAAATCTTTCAGAGAATTCTTTCTCACGGTCCGTTATTATATAAATTTCTTCGCACAGATGACGACTACCGACAGCCACTGCCCACCTCATTTCATATTAAGAAATAACCAATGACAACTAATCACCGCGCACTGGTACATGCACCACGGTGATGCATGTACCAGTGCGAGTGGGCGAGTCTCTATCCTTGGTGCGGGGGTACGCGAGCGATCGGTTAAATAATGGAGTGTAGCAAACCTCCTTTAAACAGAAAAACAAATCGTTATTAATATGAATAGCATCCTCTACCCAACCAGAATTATATTTGATATACAGTGACGTAAAGACATTGATGTCTTCACAACGAAATTCATCAAAATACTAAATTTCGAATTTCATTTCCAAAGTCAATAAAATAAGGTTGAATAAAATTCGACACTCCGCTATTACCCGTAACATCAAAACTTTTGATGATTTCACGTCGATATACATGTCGTCGTTAACAAGTTTAAAGAGAAATCTAAAGTTTGTATGAATGTTTCGATCAAGAATAACTTTTTGGGTCAAACGAGTTTTGGCTTTTCAGACAGTTTGTTGCCATGGATATTGTTGTTTTAGACACACTTCAGCGAAATTGGTGTAAATATGCTACTAATGTAATTTAAAATATTGCTCTTGATGTTCAATTTGAACTACAAGCTTGTGACTAGTGACAATGTGTCCATAAATTTCTTTTTCTTGGTCGGATTGGTTGGATTGGTCGTCAATGCGGCAAACTTATCCCTATTCATACCCAAACAAATAGTTGTTCTGCACTCTCGAGTCCAATTCATCCCTTATATTGCGTAACAATTACTTTTTACGTCATCCAGCACGACTCCATCTCCTGCCTTCAATCCAGTGCAATCTTTCATAATTGAATGAATAAATTGCTTAAAGTACAACTTCTATGCAATATTTATTTATTAAATACCATGATGTGTTACTACCAAGCAGTAATATTAGCCTTACTGCGTTCCGGTTTGGAAGGGTAAGGGTGCTGGTGAAATTACGGGCACATGGGACTTGTCAACTTATATTTTAGGGTGAAGGGCGCAGTGGCAGTGAACCTAAGATCGTTGCGATTTAAAGCTCTGGGTTGCACTGCAACTGTTATGGATAGGCGTGTCGCTTACCACCAGGTAAAAAAAAAACTCCAACCTCTTTTAGCTTTTAACTTTACTCTAAAACGTCCATGAGTATAGTTGAAGTTTAAATGCCAAGTACCCTGTGTTGATCGTGAAAACCAAACCGTATTTTACGGTATTGATACCCTTTATTAGTGGTCTTATTCCCTAGCCAAACGATCGTAAATTTTCAGTTTCTTTACCTTGGTTCCATAAAGAGACGCTTAACGCTCATGCGACAAATAAATGGCGACAGCTTCCGACGTACGAAAAATTATTGTTTAATTTATTAGTTATTAGTTTTACTTTTGTACTGCTCCTGGTTCTATAGTAAATTTTACGAATTTTTCAATATAAAAGCACGTTCTTTGTTTAACCTTCCACATACAATACTAAAATTTTCATATGTAATACTATGAAGCAATAACTCAAGAGAATTGTTAATCTCCATACTGCAGATTGTAACTCTAAAAAAGGACAAAATTCCGTCGTATACTTAGATGGCGCTGATCGATAACATGGTAATAGTTTATATTATGTAGAGTAGGGTGGTCGACAGTGAACCAAGTGTACATTATGAACCGCGCCAATAACCCAGAAACACGATATTGAAATTTGGTGTATTTCGCACCAAGTGACTTTCTGCTATAGGCACCTCTCTCCTAGTCTACAGCGAGCTATCGGCACAGATGCCCGGGAGTGGCGATGTTTTTACAAACATCTGCTTTTACAAGTCAAACGATGTTTCGTTTGACTTATATAAGCAGTACCTGCATGTTAATAGATATAATAGATTAGCCATCAATGCACTTTTTATTGAGGTAGTTAAAATAAGCAACGGGTTTTTAGGCACGTTGCTACATAATCTCAAATTTTATAAGTATGAGGTGGTGCAGAATGAACCATTTAAGGTGTACACAATGAACCTATGACAACTTAGTAATAAATTAAACATGAAAATATTGACTGCTAAATAGTTAAAAAGTAAGTGCGCGACTGAGTTACAAACCTTCTATTTGTGAGACTCAATTTGTTCTTTTCCCATTATATTTCATTATTATGTTTTTAAAAATGTGTTTTTTTTTTCAATTATGTTTAATATTTCTGTTGGATAACCAAAAACTTATTTTTTAAATTAATTGAAGCAAAAACCGCGTTGTATTTCACATTTTTTATAAAAATACAATAGTTTGCTGATGATTATAATAATCACGTCCATTGTGGCCCCTTTGGTTCATTGTGTACCAGACGCCCGGTTCTATGAGTACCATCGGGTGTGCACAGTGAACCTATTCTCATTTAAAAAAATATCTTAAGATGGACTGTATTTGTACAAAAATAAAGCACTATTTATCATACCCAGTAAAATTACCTATAATTCTAAGCAAAAAAGTGTATAATTTAAATCCATAGATCCAGAGTTATAGCTCTTGAAAATTGTGGTGGTTCATTGATGTATAAACACCTTACCCTAAATTACCGTGGAGATATCAATTAATTCGTCTTTAGTATGAAATATAAGTAGTCAATCTCGCAACATTATTCAAATATTGAGCATGAGTTAGAATTGTTTTCTGAACTTTAAAAAATATACGTGCCAATAGATGTCATTGTCTGTTACAAACTAATTTGTAAATTGATGCTTGCTAGTATGGGTAGATGGCGCTAATCCAAAACAAAATAAAAGAATAATCGGTGCTATCGTAAAAATCTGTGCAATACGCGCTATCTATTTGATTTGTTTTTTATCACTAGATATTGAAGTAGAGATTTGATAAATTGTAGTTTGTCAATTAGTTACAAAAATAGTTATTTGGTACTCATCACGTTATCTGGTGTACCAATACGTACTAAATATCCGACTACGTGGTCTTGTAACGCGATTAGTACTCCAGACGTATGTCTGAGACCCCACGATTCAGGCTTGCCTAGCCGCTCACGCGATGCGCTCGTCCTACCGCAAAATAGCGGCTATTTGGTTTCGCAAATTAGAAAAGGATTCAGTTTTAATACAAGTTTTTATAAATAAAAATTATTATTCTGCATTGCTAAATAAATGCTCTCCTTACTATAACAAAAACATCTCAAATAAAATGCAGTAATACACCACAAACCCTGCACTTAAAAAACACTGACGAAATTTTTGGTGTACTTGGGTAAACATAATAATATTCCGTTTGAGTGGTTCTAACGTTTACCATGAAATTACTCCTTAAAGTATAGTTTATAAACATTTATATTCAGGGTAAACTTAAAAAACGCTACTTACGGTATGTTTTCAATAAATAAACACCGAAATCACCAGCCCAAACAATAACACACACGATTGTCGTGACGTATTTTTGAAGTTGTTTATTTTTTTTAAATGACAGACCCAGGCATTAAAAACTTTATGGTTTGCTAGAGTAGTTACCGAAATAGCAATTAATATTAGTTCTTTTACCTGTTATAACTTCGATATCCGATAAATCGGTATAAAATCATCACCGGCACCTCTAGGTGTGGTATGCGTCTACGGCTGCATGTATCGCGTGAGCGGCTAGAGTGGAGATCATGGTTTAAACATTTCTGTGAAGTAAATTTTTATTATTAAATATTTATTTTTTTGCGCACTTTCCGGAAAGACGCTAAATAGATCACTTTATTTACAGATGTGCCGGAATTTGTAGTGCTGCAAGTGGAAAATAAGACGGACCTGCGATTCAACGTGCAGCTCTTCATGCAGTGCACTTCCACGTGGTCAGAAGAAAGCGATCTACGGTGGCATATTGTTAAGGCTCTGTTTCTTTATACGTAAGTACTGAATGAAAGATAGAGAAAATGTTTATTCCGTGAAACAATTACAGCACAGTACAACATTTTAGTAGCAGTAGAGCTCCGAGTAAAAGAGTTCGTCCAGGGAAGTACTGCCATCTTATCTATTTCTGCCGCCAAACAGTCATGTGACCATTATGCGTTCCAGTTTTGAAGGGTAAGAGTGCTGGTGAAATTCCAGGCACATGGGACTTGTCAACTTATGTCTCAGGATGACGGCGCCTGTTATAGTCTTGTCGCTTACCACCAGGCGCACGACTTGTTCGTTCCGTCATTTGGTATCATAAAAAAGTTACTTAAGCAGTTGAATGATTTGTTAACAAATGGTGGCGGGATTTGGTTTTCGGGTGATCCAAACTGCCAATCCTGAGGGGAGTGCGAGTGATGATTTCACCTTAACTTTAACTGCCTCCGTGGCCGAACGGTTACCACACTGGACTGTCACAGAGGCCCTGGGTTCAATTCCCGGGCCGAGAGAAATATTTGTATGGCCTACATTTATTTCTCTCGTGAGTTTGGGTGTAATTTTTTCTTTGTGTGATGTAGGTATCATACAAAAAACCTTTTGAGCAATTTTTTTTAAAGCACTGACGAATGCATGTTTATTGAGTTTTACATCGTCATTCAGAAGGAAATTTCACATAACTGCCTGTATTCAAAGCATCGGCAACCATCATTCAAGAGTTTAAGGAATTAATCCCGCTCGATCCTTTTTTGTCATCACGCAAAGTGACGTCACGAGGGACTTTATCCTTTTATGACAGATAATCCTCCAATTCGTACACCCTTTTGTTTCCAGTCCGTTATGCAAACGGTTAAGGAGCTAAATACTGTACCGGGTTCTATATTTCTCAAACGATACGACCTGGATATCTCAAAGGATAGGTTGACCAGGCATTTTCTACATGATATAGATTTTAAGACTTTCTGTGGTTGTTATATCCAAACCACTTTTTACAGGGATGGCTCTTTTTTATATAATAGCAAGTGATGGGATGAACAAATCTGGTGATAAGTGACACGCCTGCCTGTCCCTCAAACGTTTGCTATGAAAACAAACTCCTGAACAAGCGCAACATGCTGAAAATGGAGGCTCGTAGACAACTTCATTTGACATCTTTAGTGCATAGGGTCGCAATTAACAGAAAGCCGAAGTATATTTTTGAGAACAAGCGCAACATGCTGAAAATGGAGGCTCGTAGACAACTTCATTTGACATCTTTAGTGCATAGGGTCGCAATTAACAGAAAGCCGAAGTATATTTTTGAGAAGCTGAATTGGGCCAGAGATTTTCAGGAGACGAGTACTCGAAAAGCGGAGGCAAATCTTATACTATTACCTGTACATCGAACGGCAGGTTTCAGAGGATGCTTCAAATACTCAGCTACAAATATATGGAATGATCTCCCGTCTCCCTTACGTCAAAAAATGTACCAATCGAGTTTGATTTTGCAACTTACGGGTTTATTTTTTAAGTCACAAAAGGAAGGAAGCATGCCTCTAGTGTAAAATTTTATTAGTTTATTTAAAACATTAGTATCATTGACTTACAATTATATATTACAGAGCGTCATTCACGCTTTTGTCTTCGTTTGTTCGACTGACAGCGAAGTAAGCAAAATTAGACAGTACTGCGATGACATTACAATTTAAATTCAACGTTTTAGCTTTTTCATATTCCTTTACATGTCACTACGTTTAAATAGGTTGACTTGGGACAATTTTTCGTGGTTTTTGTATTAAACCCGTCGTCCATTTATTTGTAAGTCAATGATTAGTATTAATCTATTACAACCGATAGTAAATTGTATTTGTGTAAGTGTTACAATGATTTGCGTATGTCATAGTTAGTTATGTATGTACAGTTAATAGCTCTATTGTGCCTTACTACTAATTTAAATGTGCGTGTTGTGTATTTCATTACATTTAATTTTAGTTTACATTTTTGTGCGCGTGTTTTATATATCTGCTTGTCCACAACAGCGGGGACAAGCTGAAAATCAGTGCTGTGATGAGCATATGCTCTACACAGTGTGTGCTGAGTTTGTTCCCCTGCCACACTGTGATTGTATTTGTTAAGGTTCTATATTTTAATTATTATAATTTTTATGTTATTGAATAAGTTACGTTTAATATTTTATGTGGTGAATAAATGGTTTCGAAGCTCTGAGTGGCACTGCAACTGTTACGGATAAGAAAGATGAAGAAAGAAAGAAGAAAGAAAATTCATTTATTTTCACACCACAAATGACGCCACACAGTAAAAAAAAAATAATCAAAATTAAAAAAAACATAATACAAGAACAAACAGAAAACGAACAAAAAAAACTTGAGACACAAATAAATAATTTCGGAACAAAATCACAAACAAAACGAAAACTAAATTACACCACAGGTTATTTAATTACATATAAGACACTATAAAGATACTTTGTGTGGTGCCAGCTGCGGTAGCAAAAGAGACAAGAGAGAGAAAAGACGCAATGCGTTCCCAGCACTGATTTTCAGTTAGGATAAACGTGTAACGTCCCACGAGGAACACGATTTGTTGGCCACGTCTCTGGATATCATAATTATAACTTTTTTTATAAAAAAAAGCCGACCTCAAAGTTAGTAGAATTACATCTATTGGCAAAGTTATACTGAAATCGGAAAATTCGCGAAACCGGATTCGTCCCCAAGTTTGCCACCCGTAGAGGTGGAACATTTTCTTCAAATTTATAAAATAAGCCTCTATTACTACTAGTGTTGTTAGTTGACATTTACAATTATTACTAGTTACATTTACATATTATTAGCTACATTTATATACTATAAGTTAGTTTTACATATTATACGTTGCAGTATTATTTACGTTATTAGCTAGTAACAGTAGTAGTCGCCTCCTCGGCGTAATTCGTCTTCCATAATTCCTTATCCCTGGCTTTCGTCATCCATTTTGGTCCTGCTTTCTCTATAAAACTGTCTTCCCATCTTTTCCTCGGCCGATCTTTACGTCTTCTTTCGTTTCTTGGTATCCACTCAGTCACTCTCTTTGTCCATCGATATTTTTCCATTCTACATATATACCCTGCCCACTTCCATTTAAGAGATCGTATAGTTTTTAATACGTTTGTTACTTTCGTTCTTACTCTGATTGCTGCATTCTTAATTCTTTCTCTTTTTTTATCCCTAACATAGTTCTCTCCATTATTTTCATGGCTTTTTTTCAAAGACCAGCATTTTAGGAAGGACAATTATGTTACATATTTTTATTTCTTGACCTCTATATTAATATCTTTATTTTTCATTACCAGTTTTAAGCTACAATATTTCTTCCAAACAATAGCTATTCTTCTGTTAACTTCGTTACTCGTGCAGTTTTCAAAAGAGACATTAGTCCCAAATATATATAATTTTTCACATGTTCTATTATTTGATTACCTACTATTATGTTCTCTTCTTTACCGTTCGTCAACTAATATCTTTGTTTTTGTCGTATTAATTTCCAGTCCCACTTTTAGGCTACAAATTTAAATGGGACCAATACTGAAGTACCCTGTTTCCACCGAAAAAAGGAATCATCAAAACCGGTTCACAAATAGCCGGAGTAGTGACGTAACGTACACAAAAAATACACTGGAATTGAGACCTTCCACCTTTTTTGAAGTCAGTTCGGAAACGCAAGCGAATTCGCTTCTGCTTTTTCATATACTAATTAATAATTCTTTATTGCACAAATAAATGACATTGAAAATTACAAGTAACAAAGGACATAATGCAAAGGTGAGCTTATCTCTAGAAGAGATCTCTTCCAGCCAAACCTAGCAGTGGTGAATAAACTAAGTCTGCAAGACATTATTGTACAGTAAAAATAAATGTAAATATAATGATCAATGGCGACAATATAAATATGGCTGAGATAATAAACCTACATAAACTTTACATACTCGTATCTACATACATACGTACGTAATATATATAATCAATCAAAACAAATTATTAGTTTATATGTTACTGACTAACTTTCGAGTGTAACAGGAAGCGCTCTTTTAATTTGCGTCTGATTGATGCAACTGACGGACTGTCACGAATGCTAGCAGGTAATTTATTCCACATACGAGTTGAAAAAATTGGAATTGGTTTGGGGACATAAGTGTTCTACTGTCACAGGTTCGTTTTGAACGAGAAGTGGGGTGTAAATAAGTAGAACGGGAGCGTAGATAGTTAGGAAGCTAACTACTAACCTAGCCTATTGAATGGATGGCCTATTTGACCTATATGAAAAAGAGGATCAAGTCTCTTAGCCAGAAACGAAAGCTCCATCGATTCCAAGGCAGAAAAAAATCTGTTATAACTTTACATAGACGTACAAGGACTCGTTTAAAGTTTAATAAGCTGTCATACTTCTGACTTATTTATATTCACGTGCAGACCAAGGTTTAGGTTCAATAAATTGTGGTTTGTGGTTAGCTACTTAACATTCAAGGCTTTCACAATGTAATCCTTACTTAAAGTTTAACGCGAAGTTGAATTTGAAATTATTACCCCCGGCGTTAATCAGTCGACGTTCTATTTATGCGTTTAACTGGTAAACTCTATTAGTGTAAGAGTGTAATCACGTGAACTGCATTCCATTTAATTTAGTCCTTAAATTAAATATGAATTCAATATTAAAGTCCGTTAAGTCACATTTCAAGAGGGAAGATGGTTTCTCCGTACCACTAGTTTGGGATCCAGTATTTCCTGTGATGAAAAATATGGTTTAATGTATTTTAATTTTCATTATTAATCAAAAATAAATTTAACTTAATAAAAATTCATATTGTTAAAATAAAATCATTTGTAAAACATAATATAGCATAAATTGGAATGTTTCTTTGTAAAATTAAAAATAAGGTATTTAATTAATAACTTTTGTAAGTATAGTGAAAAAATAGGGTGGTTTGCATTAATATTAGACATAACTGTTTGATGACTTTATCACCTCAGTCAACCGT